AATCAACCAAAGCAGCAGAAACACCGGCACTATCAACAACATCCATAGAACCTGGAACCAATCAGCATACCATCATAATGCACCCGTAGCCGTTTTGGTTCTAAATGCCCACGCGGGAATCAGTGATCGGAGACCTCAAGTCCTATATACAACGGAATGGGTGTGGCGACGGGCCCGACATATCGGCGTCCGCTTGCGCTCGCGTCTTGCTCTTGTCTCTCGGCGGGGGCTGCGCAGGTTCCAGTCTGACAGTCGGTGGTGTGTCGAGCTTCATCCGCCCTCTGATTCGGCCTGCTGTTCGCGTCAGCCTCCTGGACCACTTCCCCGCGGTAGTGGCATCGCTCTTGAACGTTGCCCTCTCGCGCGACGATGTCCACGCGGCGATGTCGCATCTCCTGGGGCCTTGTGTTGCCCCGCGTGCTCAGCCGTTTGCAGACGCTGGTGGAGAGCCTCCACTACAAGATGTCAGCGCTCTTGCAAGCTTCGACCCCACTGTGTACGACGGCTACGACGCCGATGCTCTTAGGACGACGCTGGTGGCCCGAGATATGGAGCTCGCCCTGCGAGACGAGAAGGAGTTGAACATGCGCCAGGAAATTAGGACATTGAAACAGCGGGCTGCTTCCTTCCACGCACAACTGGTGGCGGCGAAGGTCGCCACCTACACCCTTTGCAAGAGCGCGTGCGTCAGAATGCCAGGCGTCCGAAATATTCCAGACTACGGTGGGTTCTGTCTCGCACTTCGGCGCAACCATTGTCAACATGTGAGTGCTGAGGCAGCTTTGTGTCTGATGGCTGGGGAGGACTTTAGAGGCTCCGTATCACACCATAAGGTGCTTGCTCGGTGCGAGACTCGTGCGGCCGTGGTTGCCAGGCTTAACTTTGGAGCCCGCCGCGCGGAGCTCGACGACTCCATGGTTGCCCTATCGGCCAGCGTCGCTGGCGACGGCGACGGCGCCGACCTTTCGGCGGGCGCTGTCGCCCCCGTCTGCGCGATCGACCTTAAGACCGATGCAACTACCCAAGCTGCGATAGACCGAGAGAGTGTGATGCTCGATATTGGTAACACCAGCACGTGGGACGGAGCGGCTGGCACGGTGGCCGACATTTCCGATGACTGCCAGGATGCGCGCGGTAGTTATGATGGTGAGCGGCCAGCTTTTTCGCTAACGCAGTTGTCTGCAGATTTCCCGATTGCGTCCATCTTATGGCCCATGCATCTTGTGAGGGCAGGCACTGGCGAAGAGACCTACCGCATCTGGGGGCGCCAATTGCAGTCTGTCGGCTTCCCCTCACTCGACGATGCTTGCAACAGGATTGCGGCTGCAGGTGCGCAAGGCTTACCTCCTGGACGTGGGCGGCCTGTTCAATTATATGTGATGAACGTTGATAAGGGCGGCGACAATCAGTTTGCCGTGCGCGTGCCTGTCTCACGCGCCAAGGAGTTCAAGACCATGATGATTGGCGTGTGTTGGTGCTTGCTACGCCAGTGTCAGCTCATATTTGAAAAGCTACTCGAAGCTTTTGATTCGTGGGGCCCATGGCAGAACGATTTGTTTGATGCTGATGCCGGGCTATCGTCTGACAATTTCCCAGTCAAGTTCGTCACGGGCGTGTCTCTGATTTCAAGCCTCTGGCGAGGGCCAGGGGTGCATAATAATCCGCGCAGCATTTTCCAGGACGCAAGCGCCGACGTTAATAAGACAATACCTTGTATCCCAGGTCGCGCCATTCGAACCAGGTGGGGCAGTGTTGCCGAAGTGGCGAAGATTACCGTGACAGCGTTGGACCACCTGCCTGCCGCTTTTCGCCATCTACTTGCTCACGGCAAGACTAAGCGCCCTCCAAAAAAGACTGGCCCTGGGGCCGATGAGGCGGCACAGTACCAGGAGGAGCAACGGGCAAGAAAGAGCAGCGCGTGTGCGATGTTGGCCAACCGTTCTTTCATATTCGTCCTCATGATCACGAACATTATCATGCAGCCCCTCCCGCATTTTATAAATTGGGCGCAGAAGTGGACTGACCAGGTCAACAGGCTTCGCCAATCACACGGCGCCGATGGCCATCGCTATTTCGGCTGCACGTTCTTTTCCGACCTCGTGAACGGCATGGCGTCGAAGTTCGCCCGCGACTTCGACAACCTGATCGCGGACGGATCCTCAGTGGAATTGTGGGGGTCCGCTCTACAAGGGGTCCTTTTCGGATACACCTCTGGTGCTATTGAGCGAATAGTCCATGGGGTTCTGATGGGGTCATGTTTCTGGTGGCTTCGTTTTGTCAAGCCTTGCGAGGAGTTCCCGTTCTTGCTACTTGTCATTCCCCAGCGGCCTGCTGGCATAGAGGATGAAGCGAGGGTGACCGTATGCAGGCAGCTGGCCGATCTCTGCGCCCGATGCCAGGCTTTCAACAACGTCTTCGACGGCGTCACGCCGAAGGTGAAGGCTACCTACGCTCACCAGCTCGACGACGTCATCAACTCAGGTGGCAAGGTGCCGTCTCAGCTGTACGGTTTCACGCTCATGTTGCGGCACGTGCTCAGCGGCCATTCGCAGGACGTCGAAGGACTTCGCGGGGGGGCAACTGGCCAGCACACGCTCGCCCCCTCCACCCTCCGCTGCTGCCGCCCACGACTACAACGAAGACGGCGACGACGACGACCACGACGAGGATGACGATGACGACAACGAGGACGACGACGACGACGATTACGACTGGGACGACGAATGTTAAGACAACGACGACAGCAGCAGAGCGCGTTGCGCTGTGCAAGCGGGGGCAGGGGGCCTCATGGGGGCTAGCCCAACGGTTCGCAGGTGTTTCGTTGCATCGGGCTTATTCGTGGTTACAGTCTTTGTTTCGAAACGTGGGCCAACTTTCGGCCCGAAAGTTGGCCCAAGTTTCGGCTCGATGTTCCGCAGCGGGTAGGTGCCCGAAAGTTTCGGGCACCTACCCGCTGCAGAAAATCAGTCGGCAGGTTGGCAGTCGGCAGCGGAAGGTCGGGGGTAGGTGGGTGCAAGGGCCAGGGCCGCCCGCGGTCAGGATTCCACTCAGTGCTTCAAGTCATGACGGAGAGGGGCCGTGCCTTGAGGATTGCGGGCGCCGACCGCCGCATGCGTTTGAAATTTGGAGACGGCAGACGCCTCACTGCCGACGAATGCACGCCCATGATGGTTGCCGTTGATCAGGAGATGCGCACCTCGAGGTACACTCATAGAAACGCCGAGGTTGAGACGGCACCAGGCCCCGACTTACCGACAGATGAGAAGCCTAGTATCTGCGCTAGACATTCTGACCCAGTCAGGCTTGAACGGGCTGCGATTGGTCTTGGTCTAGCTCACGCTGCATACAGGTTGTTGCAGCGCGGGGCGGCCGTGGCGTATTCGCTCGATCCAGGGATGGCCGACCGTTGTTTTCTGGTTCCAGCCGCGTACAAACGCAACGGCATCACTGTCGCCGCTGCGACGACGGCCCGCCGTGGTCCTGGGGGCCAGCTGGAGTTGGTTGTGGATCGCCCCATCTCGCCAGTCTTCATGTCTGATCTCCTTGCCGATGCTTACTCCAGGGCAGTCGGCGAGGCAGCTGGGGCGCTGGTTCCAGCGGAGGTTGAGCACGGGAGCAAGCGCAAGCGCAAGGCTTTGTCGATTGTTATGATTTACAAGTGTCGGCTTCTGTGGTTTGACGTTCCTCGGGCGTGGCTTTCGCTCAGTGACGTGGAGGCGATCGAAGTGCAGATCTCCAAGAGGTCCAACAAGAGCAAGCCCAAACGGGCTCGAGGGGCTGACCCCGGCGCGCCCGCCATCGAGGACGCCGGCGGCGCCGCCGCCGACGGCGAGGATTCGTGGGCCCACGTGCCAAACATGGGAACAGTAAGTCCGATCGAGAGGCTCTCGGCGAGGCGCAGTGTTGTGTGTCTAAGAGGTAAAGGTCTATGTGGTTACGGCTGCGTCTTTGAGGGGCCAGACGCTGGCGCGCTCCCTCGTCGCGAGGCGGCCGCCCACCGATCGTGAGACTCTGGATTTCTCCCACAAGGCCGAGGCTTGCGTACCTATGACATCCACAGTAACAACACACCACAAGGTTGGTTTAGTTCGTTCGTGCTTGCATGGCAAGGTTGACGTGCCCCGCCAAGACGACCTTGGCGAGGGGGATCAGGGCGACGTTGACGACGACGACGGCGACGGCGGCGACCCTGGTGATTGGCTCGGGGATTACTTGGAGACACTCCTGGAGAAGGGCGGCTTCGGCGAGCCGCCTGCTGCCGACGGCGGCGACGGCGGCGACGTAGATGCAGGTGGTGGTGCGAGGCGCGTGGCCCTTTCAGAGACCGCGCAATTGCCCCTGGCCCCGACCCAGCTCGCATCGTATGCATTGCTATGCTATGCGGCATGTTGTGCCATGCAGCGTCTGTCGGAGTTAGGCGCCGTCTCGGGGTGGGGGGCGGGGGCTGCTGCAAGCGGCTTAAGGGCTTAAGCTCCTGTCGAGCCGCAGGCGGGGCGACGATATTCAGTTGGACAGTGGCAGCGAGGATGGCGACGGGCCCGATGTGCCCGACCATGGTGACTGCATCCACGCAGACCGCATTCTGGAGTCTCGCCTCGCACAACACCCGCTGGAGTCAGCCAGCAGCGTGGATCGGAGGCGGGTTCTTGCAGTGATCCGAGAGGTGGCATCGAGGAGAATATGAGGAGGAGGAGGAGGAGGCGAGGGTGAGTTACGGTTCGTCGCTCTTCCTCTTCCTCAGGAGGAGGAGGACGAGGAGGAGGAGGAAGAGGATGAGGAGGATGAGGAGGAGGAAAATGATGCGCAAGTGTTTCGGGGGGCATTGCGTCCAGCTCGGGCATCCTGGAGTGCGCCCTGGGGACCTTGCAGCCACCCCCCCCCCCCCCGAACAAGGTGTGTCATTTCCAAGGGTTTCTGAGTGGGGCGGCGCGGGGAGTTCTTTGAGTCGCTGCGTAGGCTATGCAGGCGTTGCTGTGTCCGTCATGCGTCTGTCCCATCAGGGGTGCAACGACGGGGCCACTGCCATCGCTGATGCGCTCCGCGAAGCTGCGGAGCAACCTCTGTCTGAGCCTGTGAACGGTGGCGTGTCCCTGATCCGTGTGAACGACCGATGCATGTACATCCAGTGGACTAGCGTTCGGGAGTCGATGGGTCGCCAGGTCTCACTTTGGCCGAGCGGCCAAGTCAAAGCAATCGTGCATGCCCGTGTGAGGCCAGAGTCTGTAGCAGGCCTTGAGTGTGTGGCCCCCCACATCCCGATAATTTTGGCAAGAGCTAAGCGATCGGAAGGCGCCCCATTCATGCCCGTGTGGTGCCATATTTTGGTGAGTCCCACACATGCGCGTTTGTGGGGGGGCCCCATAGCGCCCTTGCCCCGAGACGTCTGCGCAATGTGCAAGGCGTTTGGTTCGGTCCCAGTTGCAGCGCCACCAGATAAGCCGCTGCCAACGGGCGACGGATTGTTTCGATGCGGGGTGTGCTTGCAGCCGTGGCATTTACTGCGCGTGCTTGCGTTCAGCAGGGATCGCGGACCCACGGAGGGTGATATCTTTACTTGCCCTGCGTGCAGGGGGCCGAAGCGCCCAGGCAGGGCGCGTGCTTGAGTCAATCGACAGTCGAGTGTGAACCTGCACGGCTGAGGATGGGGATGCACTTGCATCGCACATCCGATCAACATCGCCACACACCCAGCAACCGAAGCAACTACAACCCACACTAGTGCATGCTCCTAGATAACCAAGCGTCAATCATGACACCCAACCAGGTTGCACGAACAGGTTGTATATGACACATACACATGAATCAAGGTGGCACCAGCACAAGCACGAGAGGGAGAGAGCTATGACGAGAGACAGATAAAGACGCGGCACATGCCCAGCAACCGACAAGGCCAACCCACAAGCGAAATCCATTATGCGAGCGCGCGTGAACGATCAAAACCCCGACACACGACCCGAGACGGCAACGCAACTCAACATATAAGGTACACCCATATATAGAGAGGGGGATGACAACACACAAGGATAGACATCAAACGATAAACAAACGACGCGCACCACGTACCCCACACACATTACACATACACAATGCGCTGACGAAGGGAGAGACAACACAAAACGGCAACAGGTGAGAGAGGGAGGAGAGGACCATTACAAAAGAGAAGGAGGAGAATACGGAAACAAAAAACAACAAAAAACGAACAACACAACGAAATCACACCAAGCACAACAAACACACACATACAACAAATGATCGCGATCACCGAGAAGCTGGCGCTGCGCGGCCACCACGACCAGCAGCCAGCAGCCCGTCACCAGCGCAATTGCCCCCGTGGTGGCCCTGGGGCCCTCCACCGAGGCATTTGCGTTGGTGGGGCCTGCCGCGGGCCAGCTGACTGAGGCATTTGCGCTGGTGGGGCCTGCCGCGGGCCAGCTGACTGAGGCATTTGCGCTGGTGGGGCCTGCCACGGTCCAGCTGACTGAGGCATTTGCGCTGGTGGGGCCTGCCACGGGCCGACTGACTGAGGCATTTGCGCTGGTGGGCCCGCCGCGGGCCAGCTGACCGATGCATTTGCGCTGGCAAGGCCTGCCGCGGGCCAGCTGACTAAGAGATTTGCGCTGGTCACCAACGCACATCTCTTAGTCAGCTGGTCAGCGGCAGGCCTTACCAGCGCAAATGCATCAGTCAACTGGCCCGCGGCGGGGACCACCAGCGCAACTGCCTCAGTCAGTCGGCCCGCGGCAGGCCCCACCAGCGCAAATGCCTCAGCCAGCTGGCCCGTGGCAGGCCCCACCAGCGCAAATGCCTCAGTCAGCTGGCCCGCGGCAAGCGCCACCAGCGCAAATGCTTCAGTCAGCTGGCCCCAGCGCAAATGCCTCAGTCAGCTGGCCCGCGGCAGGCCCCACCAGCGCAAATGCCTTGGTGGGGGGGCCCAGGGCCGCCACTGAGGCAATTGCGCTGGTGACGGGCTGCTGGCTGCTGGTCGTGGTGGTCGTGCAGCGCCAGCTTCTCGGTGATCGCGATCGTTGTTGTGTTTCGTTTTTGTTGTTGTTGTTTGTTCATCTCTCTCTCTTGTTTGTTGATGTTGTCTGTTTGCTGGTATGTGTGACGGGCGTGGTTTGGTGTGTGTATGTATGTGTATATGTGTGCAATTGTAAAGTATCCGTCGCATGTGCTTGGAGTGTGGGTCATATACCTATTGTATAGGCGCTGGGCTCGCATGGGCGGCCTGTCGGCGACGTGCGTGAGGTTGCGGGGCAGCTTCAGGTGGGCCGTGCCCAGACCTCGTGGGTCACGTTGCGCCTCTTTGGGGCGGGGGGGGGGGTTCTTGCAGTCTCTTGGGTCTGTGACCCCCAGGCACCCACAGGCTTCGGGCTCTCTTGGTGCCCCCTTGGTAATCCCATCGGCCCTTTTGGGCTCCCTCTTTTCGCATTATTGGGGCCTTCCGATTCCCGGGGCTCTTGGCGGCAAGAAAGCTCGCGCTGTCACCTCTTGGGGCCTTTCAGCCTTTCGTGGAGCGTCATTTAAGCTCTTGTCGGGCCCCCTGGGCCCCCTTGGTCCCTAATGGGCCCCTCTTGGCGCCGTCTTGCGGCCGTCCTGGGGCTCTGGGCCTTCTTGGGCTTCTCTTAGGGCTCCCGTGGGCTCCCGTTCTGGGGCTCTGAGAACCAGTGCGCCTCCTGGCTTGTTGTGTGCCCTCTTGGGGGCACCTCTTGGGTCCGTCCCAGCCCTGGGGCCTGGAGGCTTCTGGAGCTCGGAAAGCTTATCGAACCCCCACGTTCCCATGTTCTTCGTCAAGGCCCATCATGGGGCCAGTGCCGCGGCGCCCCTGGGGAGGGGGTGCTCGGCCTGCGGCGGCGGGCTCGCCGTGGCGCGCGCCATGGCGGTCGTGGCAGTCGGCGGCCACGTGCAGCAGATCTCACGGGCCGTGCTGTCGAGCGACGAGGTCGCGGGGCTCGTGGCGAAGTGCAGGTCCAGGTGCGCCGACATCTGGGACAACAGCGGGAAGTACCCCCACGTCAGGGACAGGTTCGGGTCCGACTTGACGCTCGTGGAGTTCAGGGTGGTCTGCGAGCAGTTCTACTGCGACGACAGCGACGCGACGATCCCGTTGGTCTCGGCCGACGGCAAGTGGACTACCAAGAGACGCTGATTCGGGCAATGCTCCGCCGCTCCAACAAAGCTGGAGATGCGGCATGATGGCGACAGCTGCCGCCCGAGCCAACGCTGGCGGGCGGGGGGCGGCTTGCGTCCTCAGGTCGCGTCTCCAGTGCTTGGGGCGACGAAGCTCGCTCGAATCATCGAGGCATCGCTTCAATGCTCTTCGCGGCGACGTGGGGTCGGTAGCCTCCCGCCAGAAGTCCTTGGAGACGGTCGGGCTGTTGCTTGGGCTTCGTGAGTCGCCAGATTTCGCCGAGGAGGAGAAGGGCGTGTACGCGCTGCTTGACTGGGGCGCGTTGCTAGCAGACGCAGGCAAGAGGGCTTGGGAGGCCGACGTGAAGCGGGAGAACAGGTGCGTCCAGCTCATGGCCGCAACCCAGCTGAAGAACTGCAAAAGGTATGCGAGGGCAACTCCCGACGACGTCTTGCACTTCCTCGCGGAGTATAAGAACGCGGTGAACGGCGAGGTGACGGAGATCACCATCATTCAGATCTGGGGGCCCACGAAGAACGTAGAGATTCGCTTCAAGCAGCGGGCCAAGCAGATGGGTTGGGGTGATTTGCCTTGGGACAAGCTGCTGGGCCTGAAGTTCGAGACTGCCGTGTCGTATCATCCTGGGCGTTGGGTCAACCCGACGAGCTACAAGGTGAGCAGCAGCTTCTACCGCTTGTCGCAGCTTCGCATCATCGAGCGGGACTGGCAGGGTGTCGACCTGGAGGTGGAGGATCGGCGCTCGGTGTGGGATGAGACGGTCAAGGTGGTGAACGGCGAGTGCGACTTGCAGCGCCCAGCGGCGCGCAAGACTGAGACGATCTTCCAGTCGGTGAACGCGTGCTTCGTGGTGCTTAGGGCGGAGTACCCAGAGGTGATCGCTGATTGCGTCCGCATGGTGGTGCCAATTCCACAGGACGCCAAGCCCATCGGCCAGTGCAAAGGACTAAGCCCAGGCCTGCAGAATCCAGCGTTCAGGAACCAGATTCGGGAGCCGATGGTGAAGAGACTCGTGCAGGACATGAAGGAGAGCGAGGCGCACAAGCAGCTCGCGGACCCTGAGTCGAAGCTGCACATGGATGTCAAGAGCCGGCAGGCCAAAGCGGCGGCCAAGTCGGCCAAGGTTGAGGCCAAGAAGAAAGATAAGGCCGAGAAGGATATGAAGAGGAGCGAAGCTGCGAAGGCCGCAGCAAACCTCGTGACGAAGTCGTGCCCCCGGTGGAGGAGGAAGAAGAGCGCGGCGAAGGCCGACCCCATGAAGGTCAAGATGGGCAATCAGCTGAAGAAACAGTCGGCGGCCAAGCTGCGCAAGAAGGGTTCCGAGCTTGTCGGTGCGGATTGCCAGCCGATCGAGGACGTGGAGGTCGTGGAGCTGCAGACTGGCATGGAGACGTGGAGCTTCATCGAGTTCGCACGGAGCTTGATCGGGGAGGTCGCTCGCATCAGCGCCGACTCGAAGGAGCTCCAGAGGCAGGTGTGGTTGCTGTTTTTTTAAGGTGCGATCTCAGGCTCGGTCCCGCTGTACGGCGCGCAGGACAAGGTTGTGGACGTGCAGGATTTCACGACGTTCGCGAAGAAGGTCAAGGCCATAGAACTCGTGCCAACCAAATTCCCCAACACACACCGCCAAACCTACTACAGTATCTTACAAATGTACACAACGTGCACGTGCATTCATGCGAACACAAGAGATGTGTGCATGTACACATGGGAAAGCACATCTAGATATACCCATACATACATATGTGTGTGCTTGTGTCGTATTCACATATGGCATTCGGCCCACTCCGCCACCGCCACCATGGTCCCTCTGGGCTGTAGACCAGAGGCCCATTGGGCGTTCGTTGGGATTTCGCGGGGTGCTCGAGGACCTCTTTGATACAGTTCTGACGCATCCTAGAAACCTCTCGAAGAACATATAGGGCAGGAGGGGCTCTCTGGACATCCAAGAGGCCTGTTGGGGACACCTCTTCGGGCTGTCGTACCGTCTTGGAGCCGTCTTGGGGCCATATTGGTCCCCGTGGCGCGCGTGGGAGTCCCGCGGGAGCCCCATCGGCCGCCTTGGCCACCCCCTCACATCCTTTCCCCCTCCCGCTCGCCCCGTCGAGGCGGTCGCGTACAGAGAGGCGCGCAAGAAGCTGAAGCACAGGCCGTCGGAGCCGTGCGATGACCCGTTCGAGCACCTCCCGATTAAGGCCGGGCCCATTGAGCCCGCCAAGATGACGCCAGAGGATGGCGCGGCGCAACGGTGCAGCAGGTGGCGACGACGCCGACGGCGCTGTGACAAATCAGAGGAAGGACGTTTCCCGATGTCCTTGAGGTCTCTTGGGGGCCTCTTGGGTCGGGGCCCTCTTGGAAACGTGGATCAGCCTTGGGGCCGCTTGGGGCATCGCCCCCCCTGTCTTCTTGGGACCCTCGGGCCGTCGCGGGAGTGCTGGGGTGTTATCACGATGACGGTGATGATGATGGTGAAGATTAGGATGAGGATGAGGATGATGATGATGATGGGTATGATGATGATGAAGATGATGATTATGATGATGATGATGCTGTTGCTGATGATGATGGTGATGGTTATGATTTTGATGCTGATGATGCTGCTGATGAAACAGATGATGATGAAGATGATGATGATGATGATGATGCTGCTGATGATGACGATGCTGATGATGAGGATGATGATGAGGATGATGGTGATGGTGACGATGAGGATGATGATGATGAGGATGGTGGTGATGATGATGCTGATGATGATGATGACGCGTAGGAAGATGAGGAGGAGGAGGAATATTATGAGGAGGGGAAGGCAGGTGAGGGGGAGAGGAGTAGGAGGAGGGGGGAGGGGGAGGAGGAGGAGGAGGAGGAGGAGGAGGAGGACAGAGGAGGGCGATGAGGAGGAGGGGGGGGGGGGGGGGGGGGGGGTGAGGGAGGCGGAGGAGGAGGGGAGAGGAGGAGGAGGAGGCTAGTTCCGGTATCATCCCGCAGGAAGTGGACACGCTGGTGGACTCAGAGTCCTACGCGGCCCATGGGCTGCTGACCGCCATCGGCAAGCTTGGCAAGGACATCGACAAGAGCCAGGAGCTCATGAGTATTGTGACGGGCACCATGATGTCAGTCTTGGGCAAACTGGCGGTCGGCGGCGGCTGAATGACGTCGCAGGAGATGGCGTGGAAGCTCTTAGGTGATACAGTGATCGAGAAAGTGATCGAGGCAATGCCGCTCTCGTGGGACGTGGTGCTGAAAACATGCCAGAAGCTCCGTGAGGAGGGCACGGCCGAGTACGTGAACAAGGGCAGCGCGCACAGGACGTTGATCGCAGGTGGCTTCACAGTCCAGCAGTTGACGGCGTACAGGACTGGGCTGATGCCAGGGTGCTTGGCGCAGCTCGGCAGCATGGAGGTCAACGTGGAGC